GACAAGGAAGTTTAGTGCGTACAATGATCCGCCCTCCCAATAAAGGGGGGGGGCAGAATTCCAAAGACGAAACTGTACTTTGACCCTTCATTTACGTACCCAATGTATTTGGGAACGTCAGCGCCATCTACGTCCGCGTGAAAATATAGTCCGACTTTAACTTCGTGATCAATTACCTATGACTATGAAATTCATGGAGGATTTGCAAACGATTTAAGTCAGAATGTGAACACAGGCAATTAAGCATCAATTTTTCGTATACTTCAGTTTCATTTTATGATATATCACGTGAAACACCTTCCATGGCATAGAATTATTTATTCATGCACTTGCAACTCGGCTTTCACGCATGCGTGCTGAGTAAGCTCTGGCCCACACAAACGACTCCACAACTCAAAGATTTAACGTAATTCGGGCGTTTGTGCACCGATTTGACCGATCAAAAGGGGAAAATGTGGTTTCTGACAAAATAAAAACCAAGTGCAACATTCTACGAATATTTTCAGTAGAGAAATGTAACTCGCATTATGGAGCACCAATTTAAAACTTTTTAACGTTTAATTGAAAAAATACAAAATGAATGCATTCATTCTCCAGTTTTTGCTGAAATGTGAAAATTTTACGTTAATTATGAAGGTTTTTTTATGTAGGCCTAAAAATTGTGTTTGCCTAATTGCCACAATTATAATGTTAAACATTGAATTACATATTATCACAATTTAACATCTTTTCATTATAGATATTACATAGTGCCAATTTTTAACACCTACCTTTCCCCCCAAAAAAACACAGCTGTGAATGAACCATGGGAGGCAGTAAGCGCAGAGACGAAATGTTGATCGCCTCGAATGCTGAGGACGAGAACGGCTACGGAAGCGTGGACAACGCTAACGACACACAAAGACACCTGGTGAGACATCAGGTGCTTCAGCGGGCCAGGAACCGTCTACTCGTTGCTGCTATCTTGAGCCTTGTGGTCATGATCGCTGAGATAGGAGGCGAGTGGAGCATCGTATTTCATATATCTTTCAACTCATTTATTGCTTTGAATAATGACAGTTCAATTTCAACAGGAGGTGCTCACTATAGAAACTCTTGAGTTCCGATTGACCTGGACCCGGGCCCCGTTGGGACAGACTTTTTTGTTGATAAAAGAATGACTCTATTTTGGATCATTTTGACCTTATCTTGAATTATTTTGACTCATTTCAGGGTCATTTTGGGTAACTTGTGATCTGGAAACGGTTCAAAATGACCTAGAAGAGTATCATTCTTTGACCCCCAAACGGGTTAGTCCCCTCCCCTGAGTTTTCAGAGTGTAGGAGGTTTAGACAAACTCTCAGGTAAACATTTAATCTAAACGTGCATTTAAATTTGCCACATTTTAGCGAAGGGCTAAACCTGGATTGTTCAAAACTTGAGCTGTCCTAACTCCATCTTAATTTTGTCACAATTTCCCTTTCAGTTCTTACAGCCAACCATCCAAATTGTTGTTCATTGTGAAAATGTCGAATAGACTTCAGAAGTGATAACGCCACACATTGTTTACATGTGCGCTTTTCTATGTTGCTCTCTTTCTTTCAAGATTGGTTCTCTGCTGGAGTCAGTCATGATAAGCGTTGCCATGGCAACCGTGCAGACTGACACTTGTACAGTGTGCCTCTTATGGGGTTATAGTGTTCCATGAGAAAACTGAAATTTGACTATAAAATGTAATGACATAGAAAAATGTTATTAAACTAAGTCCTCCCGTATATTCATGCTGTTTCCTCGAATCACTGCTGAGTATTAAAAAAAAAGAAGGATAAAAAATATAGGCTACTTGACCCTCTTTAGCATAAAACGAGGAATGAGAATATTCCATTTTCAATTTTCCGCGGGGTGTAGGTAATTTTAGGAGGGGCTGTGGTGGCATTTTAAAAATACAGGAACGTACCACTTTAAGTAGTGTTTTGAATTGGATACAAGTTCTCTAGTTCGTAGCTAACGCAGAATACATTATTCTCTAGTCTAAGATTTTCTTCACACGTGTATGTACGTACTTACTCACAGGAGTGTACCATTTTAAGTAGGGTTTTGGAGTTGAGTTCTCATTATTTACTGATGACGTACGCGTAAGATTTCCTTCACGCGTGCATGTAATTACGCGTGTATATAGACCTACGGTACGGTACCGTACGCAAGTGGCCTATATAAAGTAAGAACATTTGTACATACAGTATATACTTACAGTATGTATACACCTATTTAATGGAATACCACAAAAACCAACAATAGTGCGTTTTTTACATTGAACCAGGAAATTCCTATGATGGTACACAATGACCTTTACTTTGAAATTATGGCACAACAGGATAAAATGAAAAATAATAGACGATGAGTCAGGTTGCTTGATGTCATGGAAAAATATAGACTCGCCCACCAGCAGATCCTAAGGTAATTAAGGAGTAGGAAGCGATAATCCCTAGACAAAGGGACGTACGTGCCGCCTGGTAATGAGAGGGATAATCCTAAGACAAAGGGTGAACTGTGTCGGCGGACTATTGTGTTAATGATTACATTGTGTACGTTGGAAGCGAGCGTTGGTACTAGGAGAGAGGGCGCCCACGTGCTAACGGTCTTGCGTTTAGCTTACTATCGCTACCAAGATTTGATCGATACGGAAAGAAGACTCTGTTGTCCCTAGCTGAATTTTTACTCCTTTGAACTAGAGTGTTGTACGTCGGTTACCTTGTACATGTATATGGTTTGGGCTCTGGCAGAATTTTTCAAATTCTTTGAACGGATATTTTACGGCGGTTTAATACCCTGCACATGTATGCGTTTTACAAATTCAGTCAGAGCGGAGCATTACTGTTGTTCTTTATTGTGGAACCTAAATGTAAAATACAGCTTTATATAAAATTAAGAATTCTAGCCTTGGGGGCAGCATGACGTCAGTTGGGGATTTTGAAGACGTAGCAAGGAAGTAAATTTATTCGTTGTGCTGTGGAATATTGTGTAGAAGCTCCAGCCGATATCCGACCTGAGAATTATTATTCGATAGTCATACCGATAAGTATAACACAAAACAAATTCAGTGGACTTCACATATTGGTTTCTGGTAGGTTTGTACTGGTGCCGTTTTATTTCCCGTTGTTCATCATTGATTTTTCTCCAATAATTATCTTGGTAATTTTAAGAATTACTAAAAGGGTGATTACCGGAAGTTTGTTAACTTTGAAATCAGAGGCATTACATGTACTCATTCTTTTTGGAACCATTTGTCTCTATCTACACGATGTTATCTTTTAGGCATGCTCCTCTTCGTCATGAAACAGTCCGGCAAATTGTTCAGCATGTTTAGGCAAAACTCTTTTCAAGGTTTTGTTGACGTTCATGCCTTTATCAAGCTTTCCGTCGAGATCATCCACAATGTCCTTGCATTTCCCTCAAATGCAGGTAACTTGACAGGAACTCCTTATAGTTGTCGAAAAAGTCTCGTTCGACTGCCCAGAGGGTCTTTCTGTTTGCCTTCTGCATGGCTTGATCTTCATCCATGCCTTCACTGACGTACTTGTCCTATTTTTCATCCCTCATCTCCCTATGTGTTTCCCTAGCTTCAGCCAGCCAATCTTGGTAGGCGGCATTGTCTTCCAAATCTGAACTGTCTTCGTCCGAGGTTTCGTCATCGACTTCCTCAACAGAATCCGAGTTTTTCGTCAACTTCATTCATGTCTGATTCCTCCTCAACATGGATTTTTCATGTGCCTCTCTAGATTAAACTTCCGTCCGAAGCATTTGATACACTGGTGACAAGCATAGGGCTTGGATGTAAAAATACCATTCATGTTGACCCTGCGAAGGATGACCTTTAAATGACACGAAACAAAAGAAATCGTTCCATATATCTTAAATATACACGTATTTACTGCTTCTGATTTGCACATTTCAGTGTCTATTTTTTCATTGTTTCATTGTTCAAATTGGTCTTTTTATTGCCCAAACTGCTCTTTGTACTACTCTTTTACTCATTTTATTACTCTTTTACTCTTTTTATTGTTCAAATTGTTCTTTTTATCGTTCAAATTGATTTTTATGGTCTAAATTGATCTTTTCATTGTTAAAATATACTTTTTTCCTTGCTCAAACTGATCTTCTATTTTTATTGTTCACAATGATTTTGTATTTTTCAGTTGGTCTTTTTATTGTATAAATTGGTCTTTTTAATGTATAAATTGCTGTTTTTATTGTTCAAATTGCTCCGTTTATTGCTGAAATTGTTCTTTTTATTGCTCTTTTCATTGTATAAAATGCTCTTTTTATAGTTTAAATTGGCCTTTTTATTGCAGGGGAAGTAAACGCCAAACCTACACAGTCCAATGAGATTACCTATGAGATTTTAAAACTCATTCTGTCTTCTAAGCAAACTTTGATGAGCTTTGTAAAAAGCCCAAGAGTATATTTGAACAATGAAAAGACCAATGTAGACCATAAAAAATCAATTTGAACGATTACAAGAACAAGTTGAACAATGAAAAGAGTAATAAAATAAGTAAAAGAGTAATACAAAGAGCAGTTTGGGCAATAAAAAGACCAATTTGAACAATGAAACAATGAAAAAATATCCAATCAAATTGGTATCCAATTCAAAACCCTACTTAAAATGGTACGTTCCTGTATTTTTAAAGTGCCACCACAGCCCCTCCAAAAACTACCTACACCCACGCGGAAAATTAAAAATGGAATATTCCCATTCCTCGTTTTACGCTAATAAAGGTCACAGGGCCAAATCTGGCCTTCTGATTGGTCGAGAGGCCACAAAAAATTGGCAAAATATCCTGGTTAGACCCTGGGCACTACTAGAGCTGCAGATGTGATATTTAATAAATATTCTAATTTTGGGAAAATTATGATTTTGATTCCACGTGAAGGTTAACAGAGCGCCTGTAGAGTTGCCATAAGGTGATGAAAAACTCAAAAATTATTCGCTAAAATACAACTATCGATAAATGGTAGTCGCCATATGCATGCACGGAGAGATGTCTCTACCTCCATATGCGTTGCATGGTTTTCAAGCTGTCTCTTTATCAGCCTTTTTTGTGTATTGGTGTTACGCTTGTGCCAGACACCGCAATGACAGAGTAATGTATTCCTTGCATCGATTAGGCAGAACAAAAGGCCGTATAGCGCCACGTAGCGGCGCAAGATGGCCAACTTAACCGTGAATACACGTAAAACGTTGTAATCGCATGGGCGCCATTTGAGCACGCGATACGCCTGCGCAATGCACATTAATGCCAAGGCGCAGGCGCCGCAGCAGGCACGTGCGCCTAGTGAGCCTGCGCCGAAGCATTACCGTAGACTGCGCAAGCGTATCGCTTGCTCAGATGGCGCCCACGCTAATTACATCTTTTTGGCAGAGTCATCCATCTTGCGCCTTCGGCGCTATACAATCTTTGGTCAGAACCATCCAGGAAAAATGCCATTATACTGTTCAAGCAACACTGTGACAGGTGCTTTGCAATAAACCACATTCCAGTCATCTTCAGGTGGACACATCATACGTAAGGTCTCAAGCTGTACAAATAGAGGGGTCTTTTACCATATTAACGAAAGAATCCTTTCAAACCCCAAAATTATTTGTATCATGGAAGCACTGGAATGCAAAATGTGGACGTTATGCCAAAACACTTGTTTAACCAAGAATTAGGAGGAAATAGTAAATCACCCTTGTGATCCGATTGAGTTTGCGTAATCAATACCTCCCTACTGAAAACCATGTCAAATATCAGGAAAATACAATTATTCGAAGCCGTGGCAAAAACCAGCTCCATCTCAGACCATGGCTCTAACTATACACTTTACCCACAATGCTTTGCATCGACAGCCATACATGTGTCAGTCCGTTACCACCAGTCTGCTACCACAGATGTCAGTCTTTAATCGTAGATAATTTGAATAATGACTAACAGATGTTTGATTTTGGGGGTTGTATTATAATTTTGTTGACTCATAAGTCCGAAAATCCAAAGAAGAAATTGCATCTAACTTATTCAAATGGGAAATGTTTGATATTTCAAATATCAAAATATGAAATACAATTTCAGCGAAATTCAATTTTTGATTTAAAGGCCAACTGCTTCACTTTTGGGATCCTCGGCATTTAGAGAAATATTACAATTCAAAGGTTACAATTTACAAAAACAATTATCACAATGCACTTAAATAATGGGCGAAATATCACAATGCAGATTTTGCTTGCGTAACCAATAACCATTTTAAGTTAACTAAAACTAAAATAAAAAAAATTCTGAGACCGGACCAGCTTCAAAATGGCAGCCACCACGACCATTTAATAAGAAAAACAACGTTTCCTTTTTCTCTATCAGGAGGCTATCTGGCGGACAGTCTTGCAGTGGTAACGGACGCAGCGCACATGCTGGTGGACTTTCTAGGTTTCATCATAGCACTACTGGCCATCTGCTTAGCGAGGAAGCAGCCCAGTCAGAGACTTACACACGGCTGGCACCGCGCAGGTTGGTCATGTTTTCCATGACGTCATTTTGTTTCCTATCTCAGCAAATTGCACTGTATTCTGAGCAAGAAAAAGGTTGTGTCTCTTCACTGGCCTACTCTTATTGTTTCACAGCAGAACCAATGTAACCAGCTAGAAGTCAGTCAGTTACTGGTGAAAGCCTTTATTCTATCTAACACTTTTGGCTGAATTAAGGGATACTTTTTGTCTGATTAAGTTGATTATCGAATAATAAATTTCTTAAGAAAAAACTGATATTTCATCATTCTAGTATTTAAATATTGATGAGCAGAACGAGTATGGCTCTATTTCAGTGTGTTTTTATGCGGTTGATGTTACCTAATTTTTGTTCACCAAAACTGCTCCGTGTTTTAATTCAACAGAGATCCTAGGAGCCCTATTCTCAGTGTTAATCATTTGGGTCATGACGGGGGTGCTTATCTACTTTGGAGTCAAACGGGCAATGGCAGACCGTTTACAAATCGACTCCAACATCATGATCATTACAGCATCCATCGGGTTGGCAATCAACTTTGTGTAAGTTCAGCTTATTGTCGATGTTTAACTACGTGAAGATGAGTGCAAAGCTGTCAAACAAGAACCGCTAAGTAATGCATGCTTCTTTCAACACTGTAAAGCAAAGACAGGAAATTTGGCGACGGTGTGGGAACCATTGCTGATAACTCCACTTTCACAAAGTAATTTATTACATTTAATCTACAGAGGAACAACCTATGAAAAATCAATCATTCTTCCGAATTTCTGTACACAACTGGGATTGCAGCCCCACTTATACGCCACATTTTAAATGCAACGATCATACAGACTGTTGTAAAAGCGAAGCAAACTAAAACTCACACAGAGAACAACAAAACAGGAATAACAAGAAAACAACAACAAAAAACCACTATTAAAGAACCAGGAACGGCTAACCAAGAACTGACGACCATTCTTCCTTTTACCCAATAGTTTGGGCTTCATACTAAATTTCACATGTGACGGTGGGAGCTGTAAGCCCACTGTGGCTGCATTCGGAGCGACGGACACGGAACACCAGAGCGTGAATTTACGAGCTGCCACGCTCCACGTCATCGGTGATATCCTCCAAAGTCTCAGCATTCTGATTGCAGCAATCATCCTTTATTTTCGTGTAAGAAATCTGAAGTATTTTTTATCATTTTGATCATAAGATGCCACATGGCACACGTGAGATGACTGTTCGATGTACAAGTAGATTTATACGAGAAGTCATTGCTTTGTAGTGATGACTCCACAGTCACGCGCACCCTACAGAGTATTTGAACTTGTGCGTGCACACTTTGGAAATTAATAAGGCAAAGGCTCGAAGTGCGCAAACTCAGTGCCGACTCGCCAGTACGGGGCTTGTTTTCGCAACCCTCGCCAGAAACATGTTTTTAACGTCAATTCAATAGCTGGAATATGGCTTATCCTCTTCGCCAGATTAGTCTATTCCAAGTGGTTCCCACAGGGCAAAAAACAAACCCGTTACAGTAATACTTTATTTCACTCTTTTATCTTGAAACAGCCGGACCTGACCATCATTGATCCAATTCTTACCATCATATTCAGTGTGTTTGTGTTCCTAACCACATGCAGACTGTTTCGAGATATCATATTGATACTCATGGAAGGTAAGTCTACAAGGGCTATCTGAAAACCAAACTGCAAATTCCTAGCACAAAATTTAGCCCACCGAAACAAGTCATATCTTTCTTCTACATAGGCCTATAATATCTCAACGTTTGCTGCCACTTCGATCTCATTTGAATGAAACCACCGGCCCTTTGTATACAAAGGATACTGTTACACTGTTGCCGACAATTTCGGTCGAATTCTTTACATAGATTACAAACAGCATCTGTTTTACATGTGTTATCAAGACCTCTAATGGGATTGGGAACGACGTTACATAATTTTTTCCCCATGTTTTTACAGCCAAGCCGCCCTCTATTGACTACGCTGATGCTCGTCGCCGATTGGTTGAGATTGACGGCGTAGAGGGCGTCCACTCTCTACGTATATGGTCTTTGACCAGTGGCGTTCACGTCATCACTGTCCACCTTGTTATTGGTAAGTTGCAAGATGGCCTTCGATATCCCGTGTCGAGTATCTTACCCTAAAATCCAAAAATCCTACAACTCAAAGCTGTCACTCCTCTCTTGCCCGAGGTCTACAAAATCAAATTACAGATGGTATCAGACCTACATGGTGTGGGGCGGCCTGAGTCTACGAGTGCAAGTGCCTCTTAATATCTGGCATGTCTGGTCATGATCTGGCGATCGTAGAGAACGTGGCACAGGTGATACCAAAATAAAAGTGCACGAGTTTCTCCATCAATCAAAACCGTCATGTTCTCCCCGTCTCTATTTAAAGTACCAGATATATCATTGCTTTTCGTTCAATTTATGATCTCGAAGACAAGGAAGTTAGCATACTTTGCCCATGGTCCGCACAAGAGCGTGAGACTCACGCAGTTCAGGCTACTGTCAAGCTCTCAGCCAACAAGGGATTTCTGACGCTGGTAAAATATTTAAAAAAATATGAAAACATACATAGCACAATCAAGAAACCTTGAAGTCTTTAGCGTGTGCAGCTTTTCTGTTGAAATTTAACGAATGCATTGGCAGTTAACCATCTACACCGCATTGGTGGCTCACCATAACTGTCTCAGATTACACCGTCTAGAATCTCAAATGATTACGGAGCCGTTAGGGCTTTGCGATCTCTCATGTTCCGTCAACATTGCGGACTCTTATTCAAAATTGGCAGTCCCATGGTGTGATTCATTTAAATGCGCATTGTCTGGTTCCCCACCAATCGTGAATCGTGAGGCACTAAAACGACCAGAATCACATGTATAATTATTATCTCCGACAAATCTCTCTGACCCTCCAGCTTCGCTGTACGATGGCGAGCCGGTCAACGCCCGCAGTATCTTGAAGGAGGCCCGCCACATCTTGGAGACCAAGTACGGCGTGCTGTACTCCACAGTGCAAGTTGAATACAGTGACGACGGAATGGCTTTCCTGTGCGCCCGGACTCCTGGCCCGTCTGATTAATTCAGGCTCCAAGGTGCTCTATTGCAGTAAACCCTCAAGCGCCCTCTAATCGGACGTACGCGAACAGCAAAGCACGATCTCACGTGCGCTGCTATATGCACACGATTTTAAACTAACTGGGGTTCCGTGTACTTCATGTTAACAGTGAGTAGTAACCACAGCAAACAGCACGCTTACCTTGGAGGGAAAAAACATGCTCAACGTAGTGGCAACATTAGGCACGCGCAAGCTATTGACCATGCCAAGCGTGGAACACGCACTCACAGTAAGCCAAGTTTTCTGCAACAGCAAGCCCGACTTTTCTGGCAAATGTTAGGCAGCGCCACGATATTGGGTTTGTCGTAGACCTTGTTTTAAGTAAAATAATCATCGACAAATGTTTATTCAGGAAAATATTACTTTTTGGACATTGTTTGCCAGCACTGTCACCTCAAATTGGTGTTTGACAAAGCAGAAGCCATCCTTGTCAAAGAAGAAAACAGTATGTTCTTTCCTGAAATATTCTACTACGCAGGTCAGTAAAATGCTCTTAAGTGGTAGGCTTAGCCCTTAAGAAGGGATGGCATCCAAAGTACAACCATGTTCCTAGCTCTATGGTACAACTAGAAAATTTCGTGACTGCGACCAAACTCAGTACAGTGGGTCAGCTTCTTTCTGCATGCTTAACTTTTTCTCCTAATTTGTTTTCGACGTTCTTTTTGACAGCTGTCATCAAAATTGAGGCATGATGTGCATGCAAAATTGATTGACATCATTTTATTTATTACGCCATTCTAACTAACACATTATCAATTTGGTGCCAAATATTTTTTTGTACTTACAGTTAAGCTTAAGCTTGACAGTTAAGCAAGTTCCCCAAACCTTCAAGTAAAATAAATTAATGTAAGTAATGTAGCAAGTTCCCAAAATCTTCAAGTAAAATAAATTAATGTAAATATGTACATGTATGTAGCTCCTGTTTTGAAGTTTCAATGTTAGTCAGGTAAGACTCCTGTTGACACTGCATGCATTTGGCATTATTCTTGGCTGCTGTTAATGACCATGTGCCGGAAATTGGGGGGAGTGGAATTATGTGTGTGTGGGGGGGGGGTGAATTGCCCGGCTGAGGAATTTCGAAAAGTGGTGGTGATGGTCGTGTGTGCCAGGGGAGGGGAGGGTGCCGAAACCACGTGGGCAGTGTTCCTCTGTTTGACGAAACAGAGTTAAGCCCATGCGAACGGCAGCCAGATTACTGCTCTTCCACCTGAGAAAGAGTGAGACAATAATACCAATTTTAAGGCCCTGAAATATTGTGCTGAAGTTTAAAGACGATTTTGGTGTTTTTGTGCATTGTGTTTTTGTGCTTTTTCAAACGGTAGAGATTAATTACTTTGGAAAACATTACGCCAATTTTCATTGCGGCCATGAGCAGACGGGTGTGTTTACGGGCATCTCATAAATTTTGACCTCAAAATACAAATTATATTCTTCAAACTCTTCAGCAAAGATAGCCAGAGTAATAACACAGGAAGCAAACTTTGTCACTTATCAAAATACGCATATAAATGATTTACCGCGTAACATGCAGGTGTTCCACAATGTGGTTCGTAAGTGACTTCGTTATACACGCGGACGCGCCCCGATTTGCAGGCTCCCATTGGACGATCGCTAAAGTTGCGCGTTAACTTCCGGTTCCATGTAAACGGTGATCAATGCATGCAACTCTACGTGCAGTGCATGTGCAGTGGTTTAAACTGAATTGACGTCACGTCATAAACCGGATAGTGCGTCACCAAGAGTTTGGAACACGGTGACTCTTTCCAAACGCACATTGCCATTCGACGCGTATGGACTATGGTCAACCCATTCAAAAGAACACTGTGTACGGTGGTCACCGCGTTTCAAACTCTTAGCGGCGTACTATGTGAAACGCCCGTACGAACGACCTCATCAAGTCATTTACAACCGCCATTATTTAAGTACACAGCAAATGGTCAGTACGATGGGTAAATGATACTATTTTCATCGGACTGGTCGACAGCCAAGACATCAAAATAAAAGCTAAGTTTGCTGTTTGACATTCTGTGCTTGCCTTAATTCATTTCTCATCTCATTCACGATGTTTACCTTCAACGGTACTGCTAATATTATAAGCTGTAGCCTAGCTTTTATCTTATGAGCGTAAATCTTTACAGCCTTATCTACATTGTTTATTTCACTTACTGAACGTGAGGCAATAAAATGTTCACGTAATAACGTTACGAATACCTCTCATGAACGCTGAAGAAGTTACTGCTACAAATAATGAATAACAATAGTTAGTAAGGCTACGGTAGAAGTCAAAGAAAGCCACCCCCAGGTTCGTATTGTTACAAGGAATAATTATAACCAATGTCTTAAAGATGACTTTGTTCGAAAAACCAATGTTTCAAAGGCGACGCAGTACATATTAAACAGTACTGGAAATCTGAGCTCCATGAGCGAACGCCAAGAGTCAACTATACGCATGCGTGTACATTTTTGCTCGGGTATCGCGTAGAATTTACACAAAATGAGTACATGTATCCGGCAATAGGGTTTCCGCATGCTAACCTTTAGAAGAGTTTGCCATCTTGAATCGAAAAAGAGGCCGTCCTTGTAAAGCATCTCTGTGTACAGCTCCAAATCACGGGCAAGAAGTCATGATACCTTATTGTTTAAATGAACAGTGTTTTTAAAGTGAGGCTACAAAGAAACAATCAGGCTCCTCCCTATCTCAGAGTTGAATACATGAAGCAGATTCGTGGAGCACGACCCAAATGGCCATCACATATATAGAGCCAACGCACTAAGCGTGAACGCCGACAATGGTGTTTAAATGTCAGTCTCACCTCTCTCCTTGTAACTGGTGAGGGGTACTTGTGCACGAAACCATACATAATTATATAGATGCTGGTTTCCTTACCAATTAAAGGGTCCTCCAACCTACCGACGTCGTGCTGCATGCGCTAGTTGCTGACACCTGATGACTCGACAGCAGGCTTTTCTGATATTTCTGTTCATCCAGGCATAGATTACTGGATCAACGGCCGGCGTTAACGACAGGATGAACACCCCAAGCCGTGCCCCTCGAAAAACAACCGGATTGTACATACCGATCACGGAAATGACGGATATTGGCACATACGAAAGCAGGTAGACGAGCGTCACAATCACTGACATCTTGATGAGTCGGATCTCTTCTTTTGTGACAGACCGGGAAGCCGAAGACCTTGGGTGTGGACCACGACGTGGCAATGCTGTCTCGGCCAAGGCGACGGGTACCATTGCGGTTGGTCTAAGAAACTGTCGCCCGCTCGCCTGCACCACACGGAATATCCGGTAGTACTGCACAGGTATCACGATCATGCCGGTCACAACTGTTATGCTCGAGATCACAGTAACAATGAGACGGGAACCAGGGTCAACGTTGGTAATACAGAAGGAAAAGAGGGGCTGGTATTGAGACTCAAACTTAACGTGAAAGATGACAGCTACCGCGACAGCAAGAAACCACGTAGATAGCAGAACGAAGGCAATTGGTTTCCTCCCACAGTATTTGTCGTAAACAGCGGGTGATTTTCCCACGAGAAGGTACCTGTTGATCGCAAGAGCGCAGTGGTTGATCAGAGACACGTGCCACAATAGGGCTGAGAAATGGGCGCTGAATCGACAAAGGATCGGGTCTAGGGCCTCGGGCCACTTCCCTGCCAGGACAGCCACGGCGTAAAAGGGCAAGAAGACGATGGACAACAGGAGGTTGACCAGACTGTGATTACACACGAAGGCGTTGTGGGAGGTCCGGAGCTTGGACGTGGTCACAATCAAGATGATGACCAGAAGATTGCCGGTGATACCCAAGACATCAGTGACAATAACCGCTGTACCATGAAGCACGCGCAATGGCCCGGGCAAATGACCCACAATGTACCCAGCTGAATTTTCCATGCTGCAGGGATATCGCCCCTGCACTTTTCCTAGCAGCTGGTTGACGAATTATGGCAGCCTGAATTTGTTAGTTTACTTGATTCCTTATACACCCACGATGCAAAACTCCACAGATTACTCGCTGATGTTCGTTAATGTCTATCCCGTGCACAGACTAATGAAGCGGCGTTCTTCCTGACATCGTACCGGCCGCTTAATTTCGCTGACGTAATTAATCAGGTTGAAAATGACAGATTAAATGCGACAGGAGTTCCTCCACGTCACCCAATCTGTCGCTAATGACGTCTGTACAAGATATTGAGAACACCAATTGCTCCCTTTGAGCGATAAACCTCTAACGAAAGACAATGGGCACAGTGCTACCGTACGTTTTCCGAAAATCTTACTCTCCCCAATGGAACTTTCAAGGAGCAAAATCATCAAGAAGCGTGGTCTACAGTAGTCTTGATGTGAAATCTACCGGTTCCAAAATACTTAGGCCAATGACTTCGTAGACGATCACAGGGTCACTGAGCGGAGTTGGTTCATTTGTTTCTGGGTGTCACCACTCTTGTCAACTCAGTACAAAGTGGACAGCTCGAAATTACCAGGACGGCGATCCTTAATCAGAGTCGAACTTTAATAGCACAGAAAATCACCAATTTGATGCGCAAATGCTTACCACTGTAGGCCTAAATGTACATCAATCAGCGAACGCTTCTCCCCGCAGAAATATACGACATATGCTCCGCCCAAAAAAATCTGAGAGCATACGACTCAGATACTCATTAATTTAGACAGATCCTGTGAAACTTTAACAGAGCGCGGAAGTGCGTTTCTTCTCAAGTTAAGAAACAACCACAGACACCAGCTACGTATACGAGGACGACGTAGTAAAATCTTTTGACTTTTTAACTGCGGCGAGCTCCCTCCCATTTAAATAGGCAAGAAAAAATCTTGGTATGAAGTTTTTGCCGACTATTTGGCGACGGATGACGGATATGTACAACTTGTAACATTTCTTTAATCAAGTACATGTATTTTCTTTCTGGAGCTTCATCGATCGCTCAATAATGCCCTACTTTGGTGACTGCTATTAACGGGAAGGATTCATGTCCCTTTGATATCACCAACGCTGTGCATTTTGTTAGGCGGTCTTCCCAAACGTATTACAAGTTGTCCAACCAGTGCACTGTGAACACAATCTGCTCAGTTTGTCTAGATAGGATAAAGCTGTGTTGCACACAAATATCATGAAAGAGTTCCAAATGTTCACATACCAGCGTGAAACAATCCAGATGCGATTAACAGTCTAGAGGACTCAGTCGTTCTGTGCCTGAACTACTCTGAAAGTCGCAGATTGAGTTACAAACCGACAACTGGACGTTTAATTCAAATAACCCAACTGCCATGGAGGCTAACAGTACCATTCTCCCAGTCAGCCATCTGTCTGTTCCACTTCGTGCGCTTCATGGCACGACGGTCATAATCGCCGACATCTTAGGTATCATCGGGAATCTTCTTGTTATCATATCCATTGCCAAGACGCCTGAGCTCCACACTTCCCATAACGCCTTCGTGCTCAACCTCAGTATGTCGGACCTCCTGCTGTCCGTCTTCACTGTCCCCTTTTACGTCCTAGCCATCCTTGCCGAGGGCTGGCCTCTCAGTTCCAAGGTGTGTCGGTTCAAAGCCAAATTCTCCCTAATTCTCTGGGAGGTGTCTTTACTTACCTTGGCCGCCGTTGCCACCAACCGTTATTTCCTTGTGGCCAAGTCCTCTGGAACTTACAGCCGCTTCTGCAGCCGCAAACAGATAATCTTTGCTGTGCTCGTCTTCTGGCTGGAAAGTCTGCTGGTGGCGTTGTTCTCGGAGTTCGCCATTGAGGTGGATATCCAGTACTTGCCAGCTTTCTCATGCTGCGTTTTCAATCCGTTGGACCCCACCACTTACTACTTCGTTATGGTGTTTATCTGCATCTTTGTGGTGTCTGTGTTGATCATTGTCCCCGTGCAGTATTTTCGTGTACTGCTAGTGATCCGGGCCAGTGGACGACGCGTCGGCCGGGCCGTATCGACGGGACCCTGTACGAACGATCAACATCAACTCTCTTGCCAAAATAGACCCAATGCCTCCGGCATCACTAAAGATGAAATCAGACTCCTCAAAATGTTCGTACTTCTTTCGTTTTTCCATGTTATCTCATACATTCCCATATCCATCGTCTACTTGTTCGGCGTAACTTCCCCCATGCTCTTCCAAGGAGCACGCTTCGGAATGTTCATACTGTCCACAACAGTGGCTATCAACCCGATTCTCTATGCGTGGATGAACCAAAAAATAAGACATGCCTGCTGTCGACTGTTGAAAAGCAAGAAACGGGTTTTTAATCTGACGCTGGGAAGGCAGATGGAACAGGCACAGTACTGGTTAACTAACTCCTGTCAGGATTTTTGTCGTCGGACCAACGACTGAGACCTGCGCTTCACAGACGTGAAGGACTTCCATCTTATTCATTCCTAAGTTCACAGATGTACAGAGTGACTTACACTCACCATCCTTGAATCGAAACTAGTCAATGTTTAATTCTTCTGAAAGCCCCTTCGTAAAACACCATCGAGAAGTTGCACGGAAGCGCGACATTGAGGACGCCAGGCGGACTCTGTGCATTAGGCCCTATTGATACGGCCTTTACGGCAAACTCGGTACCTTAACCCTAACAGTCCCAAATCCTCCTATTTCAATACGATTTTACATACACCCTGGGGGTTAGGTTTTAATGAACATCAAGGTCTCTGAACGAACAACCGCATAACTCCGTCATGTGGAGCACTCTAAACGCTGCGGCTCGGACATTAGTAGCGTCCATTCCCCTGAGTCAGTCTTAAACGCACGTTTAAGACCGGCCAAGCACATATCTATTCCCTTATCAACGGATCCTACTCACTGGTGCATGCATGTAATGTCTTGTAAACTTTAAAAGCAGACTCAAACAAAATGTCGTAAATGTTAATTACGGGTTTTGCTAGTACCTGACGTATATTCATAAACACTGTATACATGTACTCGGTGCTTGGCTGACAGCTCGCCAAAAAATTCACGAGCTTACCTCTTGCTCATTAGTGCAGACGTCTTAACCACTCCGAGTCAGACGAGGGTCCGAGTCAGACCATGGTGGAAGAAACACATAGCAGCGGGTACTGCAAAGTATTTCAAAATGCACTTTACGCTGGGGAGATGTTAATTTTAAGCTTGTAAAGTCTATCACAAGCTCTTAGACAAGCACAGAGTGTTACATACAGTGTTTATGAATCTACGTTTGGTACGGGCAAAACCCGTAACTGAAAAACTTACATCTCGTCTTGAAATGTCGTAAATTCAGGTATTGTGAAAGTTATGGTAAAAAAAACAGTTTAGTGGAAAATCACATCATTTCAATTTGATGTAAATGTATTTAATTGTATAAACACACTTTACCAATACAAGTCTACGGGCTTCTTGTTAGTTATTGTTTAATAAAGGCTCCTCTTTGGCAGTATATATATATGTAGGCTATTAAGTGGCATTTCTGCTTTTGTCATACGGCATCAATTCTGAAACTGTAAATAAAATAAATAAAACAATAAGCAAAACCAAAACAAAAACCTACGACAAAATATACCGGACCTACACTTACGCGAATGAAACACATGCATTCATTATTCCTTAATGTCCAAGACAGGCAATTCATAATATTGCGCCGCCAAGAGTTTGCAACGCGTTGACCAATCACAGTGCGTGAAATCTGTCGACCCTTTCTAAAGCGCATTCGGGAGACAGATTTCGCGCACTGTGATTAGTCAACGCATTGCAAACTCTTGGAGGCGCACTATTGTGAAACGACCGTATTCTCCCAATTTAAAGCTAATAAGCCTACTACCAATCATCAAGCCGCTCACAAGGACTTTTTCTTCCAAAGCAAGTCCATTCTCGCCAAATTTGATGACGGGCAAACAGAATGAAGCTCGGTTAAATCTATGGGCATGAGGTATCCACAAGGCCCTGGAATTTCAACCTGCATCTATTTCTGTTACATGTTTGCCAACTAGATGCGCAATTTCTGTTGTTTATTCATGAGTATCACACAGGTGTTCATGTCTATCTTGTGTTTTTTATGGCACATACCACCATTCAAAATACTCCTCAGATACGTGCACATATTTATCTGTCTCAACGTTTGCTTCATATAAATCTTCAAAACATGACGCTGCATTCTTCAGCGAAGCAACCAAAAAAAAAAAAAAAACCCACAAACTTTCACAGGCAGACCTACATCCATTCGTCAATTATCAGTCAGGCGAGTAGTGATTAGTCATCTGATCAATAGTTTTGTTTGCCGGCGGCTGGATTCCGGAGACTATTAAATAAGATCATGTCTGTCTCATAAGATGATTTACCGACAAATAAATGCTATCTGGGGTAATTGGAAGAATCCGTTTATCAACATTTAAGTTATGTTTACCTGGAATAAGATTTGAATGAAGCCGTTCGTCATCAATATAATCAGCCAAGAAGGCATTACACCATGTACACTGTTTGAACCGTGGAGTTATTCCCTGGTTCTTCTCAGAACCACACATACTCAAGAAAGAGATTGATCCATGGTGTAACCGCAATCGTTTTGGTTTTTTTGTTTTGTTGTTTTTTTTCCCTCATATAGTTCTTTCACCATGAAAACCTTTAAGTCTTAAGAAGGCATTAAGTTTGTAAGGTTTCTTTTTAGAATGAAAATGATTGTAGTATACAAGTAGAAATGATGGTGTGGTTTCAATGAGTACTGATTTTAATGCACATTTCAGCATGTTCAGCAAGCATTTAAATTGAATGTCTTTTTACATACAGTCCCCCATTCTACAAATTCTTTCCTTGAAGACCATGTCGTATTACTTAGAAGTCTTGAATTCACACCTACATGTAGCAACCAGCCCATAGACAAGGCTCTTCTGGTAGGTAGTCACCCAATTGTGCAAGAATTTTCTGATCTGGCATCCCTACATTTGTAAGTTACAATATATGCACCCATAAAAGAAAACTAAACACACAGTTTCAAAAGACAAACGATGCACTCAATCCCGCCACCTGTGCCCACAGTCTGGGCTACAACATTTGTAGAAGGTGGTCATTGGCTCGTCGGCAGAGCGCGTCTGAATCTGCATGAAGTAAGCCCTCGGATGTTCACATTTGGGACATTTTTCTGTAAGGGTGAGATAGTAGAGTTCTCTGGCAAATGTGACGATCACTCACTGGAGGGATACATATATACATGTACCTCGTTCTCATATTGGCCTGAGCGCCAGGGTTGAGTATCGATCTCAGTCGAGATTAGATACATATCATGTAGAGTGCCGTGCAGGGAGAAAACTTGTCCAGTTTCTCCCTCAAAAGGAGGCATTTCCTGTCTTCGATATAAAATCAGCTCGAGTAAACACTGATGTACCACGCTGGTAGGAAAAATATCCTCATGCACTGCACAAATTATGTACACGTACAGTCTAGTGTGCCACCCATCAAGTCATAATCCACATGATAATCCACATCATAATCCATGTGGTTGCTTGCACACAGTTAAGGTTCAGGGGGCCGTTACTACAATAGTAATACAAAACAATGTACATGTACAAATGGAAGCTGTAGGACCATCACGAGGGGAGGGAAGTGAAGCTGGGGGAAAAAAATTGGAAGTTTGCTTGAAAAAAAAAATCCCAAGAATGACCCCTTCCACCGTGACTTGTCTGTTGGCTGTAAGTCATTGCTTCCCCCTCTCCCACATACTAATGACACCAATGTGTGTGGTTTCTTTAATGTTTTTTTCGGGGGGTACATGTATATTGTTTACGAGGGGTGTATATACCTTCTGTAGAATCCACATTCTCCCAAGCTGCTGCTCCACCCAGGACATCATCTACTTCCTTCAAACGAGGAAACTTTTTGCTGGAGATCTAGGCAAGAATGGAAAAAAAGGGTAAAACTGGGGTCTACTGTCTTAACCACTTGACGCCGGATAATGTGCAAACACAGGATACACACTCGAAACATATTCAATCAATTATTGGATATTCAAATATTATTTTCTGAGTATGAATATTCAAATGCAAAATTCATGAAAAGGGAGAATTTTCTTTTGTTTTAAATGAGAAATATTGCAATATGGAGGATTTTTTAAAGCAAATTCAACTGAAAAGGGACATAAATATTATGATTCAAAAAGTAACTTATTCATTAAACAATTTCAAAGGAATATAAATTTTCAACAGGACAAGAAGTGTTGTTTGTCTCCTAAATCTTGCTAAATCGTGGCTGGAGATACTCCCAAATGTGAGAAGCTATTATGTTGATTATAATGTGAATTCTGTGTGTTGTTGCCACTGATATTGTACATGGTTCGTTCATCAACACTCTGCCTGTCAGTACGACCTATTATTCAGATATTCGACCTACACGTAATTGAAGGTCGAGTATTCGAATAATAAATTATTCGCATTGACTCAGCCCAAATTATTGATAGACTACCCCTAGTAGGAAGGCACAACCCCAATGACCATGACCAATGATGGGGGGGGGAATTAAGATTCATCCTCTGTGCACTTGTAATTGAAGTATGTGAAGTGACTCATGTCCCATTATCTGTAGTTCAGGCATGTACAGTACATGATGTGGGCACAATTGCTTGATCTGCGTGGTACATGTATCTGTTGATTTTTTTACACAATTTACCAATGATTCTGGCACCAACTAATCCAAATCACCTTTTCTTTCTAGGTTTAGCATTAAACTGCATTTAGGCTCTAGGGCCTAATTCGTCATGTTCATGGTTAAGGAAGACTGTTTCAAAAGTGGGGAAAAAGGTGGAGATTTAGGAAAGGACTGACCGATAGTGCAATGCCAATATGCACGATCGTGCTTATTGTCCGAGTGCACCCAACTCAAGCATGTTAAAGTTGCAGGCCAGTAAATAGGTGCAAAATTGCCTGCACAGACCAAATCACGATTTGCAGGCTGTCAAATTCTCTGTTTTTAGAGCGTTTTGTGGCACGTGGACTGGGTGGTTTGTTAAAATGGTGGATGAAATCCAGGAGCAGGACAATGCCAGTTGTATTTCTGAAAGTACTGAACCAAATGGGGCCCTCCAAATTGCTCTATTTTGCAATGGACTGTAAAAAATGTTTTAAAAATGCTGATGGGCCTCATGACTGTATCGAGGGGTGATTTTCTCTGGAGAGAAATACCGGGATCTTCAAAAGTCACCTGTGAAGCCACTGAAAATTGAAAGAAAAATAAAAGATGAGGAAGTGAGCTGTCTGGAACTCCTGTGCTTTCCTATTTTTATGAAGTGGGGATATTTATCACTACTGTCTATGGCATCTTATTTACTGATCTGCATTATAAACAAGCAGGCCTGGGCACATGTGTACATCCATGGAGCTACAAGTACATGTATAGCTCCATGGTACATGTACATCATAGTACGCATACAACTTTGGCTAGCTAGTAGTCCAACCATGGTTCAACCATGACCAATCAATAAGCTTTTTTTACGTTTCATGTAAGCAAGCTCAGAAGACTAAACAGCGGGGAAACAAATTCCTGACAACGACGTTGCATAATGTTTGGCAAATGGATGCTCGTGATTGTTATTGCTGTAGACAGTTAGCGGGGGCGCTAAACTCAACATGGTGACAGAACAGGAAATTGGCTTATTGACATGAATGATTGATGTGCCACAACCGTGCTAACATTACAACTTGGCAGCAGGCCTAAGCATACTACCTGTATCCATCAGAGACTAGTTTTCGAGGAAATAAGGCTTTTTCTTTAATTTGAAAAATACAAACAAATACAAGATATCAATTGTCCTAATCACCTTCCCTAAGTTACATGTAATTTGTAAACAACGAACAAAACTGGATGATGAACGCGCCACCCGTGGCTGACTATGGCTTGTTTTCAAAGGTTGTCCAGAGGTACGGTGCTCAAGTGAAGCCATGCATGAAATAAATGTTTGTTGCCGTGCGGTGCCTCTTGTGCAACTTCATCTTATCCTTTATTGTCGGAAGTCGTCTTTTCCAAACTCAATCTCTTTTTTTAAGGCATCTCATAAATTCTGAAATGATTTTAAATTTCAAATTACAAAATAAAGGTAAAACCATTGCAGGTGTTTCTTTGCTTTCAACTCTAAAGTTTCCCTGTGTTTTATGTTTTTTTCCAACTGTCCTATGTTTACTTCTCATTAAACATGAACTCAATAAATTGGCGAGTATTTTAAACTGAAAACACTTTCATTTATTTCTAAAACTGAAACAAATATGTTCCAGTGCTTACTGTGGAAATTATTTCATTAACCATAATTACTTGGCAAAATAATAAACATGCTTGCCCTGAAAAAATGACTAATATTTTTCTCAGGGAAATCTCCTGACAAAAGAAGGAAACAACATTGGTAAAATTTATTCTTCTGTGGGTTGAAAGCATGGGAGACTGTGAGTGTGACAAGGTGTGACAATAAAATGTATCACTTGCCAGAAGAGGGGTGACACTGCAATAGTACTTGATGTGTGTCCAGTGCAAGCAGTTTTCAAACATGGCCCCATGATGTTAAATTGATGGGAGTTTGCAAATTCAATGAGTGGAAATCAGTGCAAACACAGCACTTGTCACTGTCATTAATCTTCGAGTCACTGTCATCATCACTGGTGATGGTGGTGCTCTGAAGCAATGTTGTGTTCTAGTGCAGGAGCATGAGTTGGATCAGGTTGAGGTGCAGGAATCACACGAGGCTTCTTTGATTCATTCACATCAACAACACACCAAAATGCTTTGTAAGCATTGATGGAGAATACAATGTACATGTAGTTCCTGTAGACACTTGCCCCAGACAGCAGCACTTGGCTCATACACATGTTCAGCAAGATGAGAAAGTAACTAGTATTTTGCTGTTGGATGTCACATGTCGGTTGTAATATCAACATGTAGGGCCTAGTGAATATTTATTATAATCTCTTTTTTGTCAAAATATTGATCCATTTTCTTTTATTTTGAAGGCCTTACAGTAATTGTAAAAAACCCACACAGTCACTTTTGGGGTCATCCATTTTTTTTCATCATTTTCACGAGAACACAAAGCATATGCAGGGGGGGAAGGGGTGAAGCGGTTTTGTACGCTTTTAGAAACATATTAAAAATGATGATTATCATACATGTAGACTGGCCAACTATTGCGTGTGTGGAGAGTGCACAGGACTCCAGTGCATCATTCATATGAGTTCGGGCAATGGCTATTTCTTAACCACTTGACAATTTTGCCTGGTGTGATATATAAAAAGTACATACACAAGTACCAGGCAAAATTCACTAACGTTGAAGTCACAGCAACATGTGCAACGGAGGGGGCTTCAATGATCTCACTTCACAATCTGTCAAAATCCAACCGTTTTCACTTGACATACGCACGGCAATTGAACTTTTCGCCGCTTGTTCCTTTCAAATGTGTGTATCGAGATTCAGAATACGCAATAACTCTATGGGCGAAATATGGTCTTCCAAGAGCAACACGTACATGTATGATGATCCCGTCCAAAATCCAAAAAGAGGAATACTAACACTCCACTAGTAGAGCTAGGCCTATGTGTACTCTAGCATGTAGTAGATACTTATGAGTGCAACTTACCACTAGGACCTTAACTTTACACTTCATCGGTCAGCGGGGAGAAGAGATCTTCAGCAAGACTGAAGGTACATGTTTTTTACGTCATTCGAAGTTATTTACATCGTGCGGCATAACGCAGCCGGTAAGGGTGCGAAAACAAGGCCCGTCAAAATCTGGACCAAACTCTGAAACGTCCTGTTGCACCATCATGACCATGACATCAATCGTTGTCATGATTGTTGTCATACTCCCACGATGACAACAATCAGACAATCATGAATTGAATGATGTCATGGTCATGATGGTGCAACAGAACAGGACGTTCCAGAGTTTGGTTACGCCTACCTTTCTCGTAATATTGTGAATAAATGGACATGTGTTACAAGCGAATCTGTAGCAGTTTGGCCCCTCTTCGACAACGAGTACATTGGCACATGTTGGGCAGAACATCAACATTTTCAGCACTGCACGTAACGTGTCTTGGGTCTGGCTCGTGTCACCATCAATTTTTGCATGTTTTACAAGCAGCGCCCTCAAGAGAGTGAAACTGAAGAATACGATTTGGTGAATTATTTATTGAATTAGGCCAAGGCCACCGTGTCATCCTTGACACTGACATCCGTGTACACACGTATGTACATGTACATCACATGAAATTGATTAACTTTTTGTTTGGATCTGGATTGATGACTCTTTTGATAAGACGGATGACCGCATTATATCAAGAGTTGACCTAAAAACCAGGTGCTGGGTGGACATGTGAGTTTTGCATTTATTTGATAATGGAAGTTAATAATGCGTGTAGGCCTATGTAGGAGAGTGTAACTGTAAGTGCCCTAGCCATGCTAGCTGGTATCAGGTCAACTCGACCGTTTGCCAACTTGACTCGAGTCAACTCGACTCTCGACCGTCGACCCTTGTTCCTTCAACCATAAAGGTTAACTCGACTCTTGACCAACTCGACCGTGCAAACGGTGCAACAGGTAGGCCTGCAGGGCATCATAGAAGGAACGCATTTTTCCTAGGCCTAGTTCTGGATCACGCGTGTAATTGTCTTACTGTGTGTGATGTGATCTGTGCATGCGCACAGTGTGGTGACAGATTTCGGGGGTTCGTGCGTGCATGCTTCTCAAATTGGAAAAATTATTTTGGAGTATCTCATTATCATTGGCACAAGTCTATTGATTGCATTTCAGTTGATTTCCTGGGTTCATTGAGCCGAAATTAGCATCCATAATTTTTGCGATCTGGAACCGATTCAATCTTTATTTTCGCCTTTTAATAACTATTTTTCAAGGAAAGAGTTTGTCTAATGAATTGGTAAATGGTCGAGTTGACTTGACTTTGAAGTCGAGTTGGTCAACAGACAAGTTGGTTCAACGGTCGAGTTGGTCAGGAGTCAAGTTTGGCAAAGTTTGGGCAATTTTTCAACTTTTCTAAAATCAAGATGAGTTCATTAACAAAGTAAACAAAATAAAAAAAGCTATTTTAAATTGAATATATGCCAGTTTGATTAAGGTTGAGGGATACATTTAAAGTTAGCCTGTAGGCTGTAGTAGGGCTGCTGGGGTATACGTGTACGTACATGTATGTACGCAATATTGAAGATCTGCATAGACATGAATCGTGTCATATGGCATGTACACGTGTTGGCACTCACCCCACTTTTCAATTTCCATGGTTGGGTATGTTTTTTATTTACATCATCGTCCTTATGCCCCCTTAGTCCCTGGCACAATTTTACACCATGTGACAAATAGTATTGTGTGCTCCCCTATTGATGTTGTTGGGCATTATCAGTCGATCGTCATGGTGATTGCATAAATGTGCAGTGCGATCAGTTGATCCTGTAGAAATTCCCCAGTGTCTACTTCAATGTCAAGACAGTCTTTCACAAATGTGCATTGTAAAGAAAATGAAGTGAGCTGATTATCATCAAATTATGGACGTTTAAGGGATTGCGCATATATCAATTATGGATTGAGTGATAACGCCCAACACTGTGATCCTTAGATCCTTAGATCTGGCGTGATCAAGAAAAAAGCCGCATGACATGTATGCCAACTATTGTTGAAAAAATATTTAAATATTTATTTTTCAGGAGGTTGTGATTGGCTGGAACCAGTCAACTTGTGAAGTTGTGACTGTGCCATGATTTGCAGGAAAAAAGATGTAAAGTGTTAGGACATTGTAGGCCTTCATGTACATCACTACAGTTACAGGTAGCATACCGGTAGTTAGTACATGTATGATCCCCAGCTGATTTCACAAAGCACAGACACTTTCCACATGTACTTCAATGGAACACCAGAAACCCATAGACGCTCTCCAGGCCACAATCCCTGCCACACCCAGTGACAATGCCGTGGAGCCCATCCTAGACGCACCCAAGGTCACATCCCAGGATGAATGCCAGAGAGCACCCACACCGGGTGAAGTGACACACCACGAGGCTATGAAGATCATGCGCGATGGACTGGCAGAGATCATCAGAGATGACCCCCTTCTCAGTGACCTCCCTGCTGAGGTGACAGCTGAGGAAGTAGGCCTCCAGATTGCACTGGAGTACGGCCAAGCTATGACTGTCAATGTGCAGAAATTCACTGGGGAGTTGATGCGTGAGTCTGTCTTTGAGACAAAACCTTATTCACTCCTCGGCTTATCAAATATTTAGCTGACAACCTGATAGAAATTTCCCTGATCCTCAGTTAATAACAGGTCCTTCCGATTTTGCATATGCAAGTACTGTACATGTACAGTGTACCTTGTTATGTAACAGGAACCTTGTACATGCACTATCAGGAATGACAACTACAATAAGCAAAATATTGGGACCTAAAACCTTCCTTGTTATAAGCAGAAATGTTGTATGACAGGTAACTTTGGTCAAAATTGTCCAAAAAACTGGCCATTGAAAAGTGTATATTGGCCAAGTCAGGTTGCAGTACCCATCTAACATGTCTGATGCACACTACCCTGACCACCAGTACAACAGAACTTTACCTTTTAATACCAACATTTTTGTCTTTCTTCTTTCAGCATGTATTTTAATTCAATTCCATGAAGTTTACTCCAGTTATTGAAACCTCAGTATCGTACTTAAATACTCTTTGGATGTTTCACTCTCATGACATGCATGAGGTACATGTCCATGTACAAACCTCTCAGTACACACTAACGGAGGCCATCCCTGATGAAGGGTAACCCTAACAGGGGCTGACCCTAACAAAGGGTGGGGGGTTCATGTCCTGTACATCTGTTTTCTACAACAGGAATGTCCATTCCTATAGTGTGAAGGTTGATATAGCAGTGTTCCATCTCTTATATAGCTATTGTAGTCCTCCAAGGAGCCAGGGTGCAAGACTTGAAGCATGCCATCCAGCGATATGTAACTCTGAAGGAGTCCAGAAAGGGCAGCCAAGTCAGCATTAGTTGGTAAGAACAGACTACTTCTTAAGAATGGGGTTAACATGTGTTACATGACTGTTAAACTTTTTTAGAAATTTATTACTGATTGTACATTTACACGAAGTATTAAGTTCAAACTGCATGACTGAGATGTTCACTTTTTGTTTACAACAGGAAATACATCTGGCGGACCTACTCCCTCTGCTATGAAGGAGAACAGCTGGACAAGAACAAGAAACTCAAAGAGTAAGTTCACTTTATCCAACAGCAAACTAGTACTAATATTCAAGTGGGGATATACATGAATGATGAAAATAACAGAGCACCTCCCTCCTTTAAACCTCGTGCTCCATCTTTTGGCAAGTCTCCACTCTCCAAAACTTTAGTCTGAGGACTTGGGTGGTGACTTACATTTTCATTGCCTAAAACATTCAGCAGATTTCTTTGACCTTTCACACAGATATGGCATCCGGAATAGAGACACTGTGACCTTTGTCAAGAGGCTGCGACACCAGGGGTACAAATACTAACCCCGTGTCTGGGACAGATGTTTGCTCGATCCTTCTGGTATCAAAGGAGATGGGAACAAGTTCAATTGCAACCGAGTGGCTATCTTGGCATATCAATGGGACTGTTACAACACAGTGGTTTGTTTTACTGGAGCACTTGACATGAAGCAATTCTGAAGCAAGGGAATAAAATGGGCCCTATTACACAGAATATACCAGACATGCCAGAGCTGTACCTGTTAGTGCCAATGAAGACCTACCAAAAGATGAGTTCATGAGCTCTAATCTCCTTTTATTCCTATGTGAAATTTGTCATGGAACACATTGCAACATTCATCACTACGTCGTACATGTATATGTTATATCCGTCTTGTCTCTAAAAATTGACAAATGTGCTTGTGGCAATGTTTAGGGTTCCAGTTGTGAAAGCTTGACCCTAGCTCCAGATGAAAAAGACAGTGGATAAGAAGATCTGCTTTTACACAATGCAAAACTACATGACACACAAACCTTCCAAGACTTTTATTGTATCCTCATACTATAAAAAGCACGACTACTTTGATTTATTTGTATTTGTAAATAAAACACAGGATGGAAAAATATTTTTCAGTGCAAAAGGGATATTCTGTTCTGTTCCTGAAAATTTACAAAATAGATTTTTTCAGAGCTGACAAGTTCCACTTCTTAAAAACAAATTCAATATTCAATAATAATCTTTAGAATAAATATTGAATACAATAAAAAATTCTCCAAACAGATTCTAAAAAATTGGTGTATATGTATGTATATACATGTATATTTACTTTCAACTAGAACTGTGAAACAAAAATATTCTAAAAATAAAAATTTTGTTCTCATTTGGACATCAAACACATCAATATATAATCTGATGCAGGCATAGACATTTTTCGTTTGGAAAAGATTCTCATTGTAAATGTTGACAGAAAGCCTCAACAGAAATTTCATGGCCATATTTTATTGTGGGAAAATGAAGTTGATAACATTGCTAACGCAGAAAAAGAACTTGGGCACTCCGTATCCCTCAACCGCCCAACATCAAATCTTTCTCAGCACAACAAAACACAGGCGTTAAAGAGAAACGTCAAACTTCAACTCTGATGCACTGCAATGACCTTTGTTGAAACAATAAAATATGTCTGACGACAAATGACATACAGCAAAACACTTAGGTACTTTGCCAGTGAAGACCCTAACATATAAAGCAAACCAAAATTGAAACCTTGTTTGTACATAATATGCTTTGATATAAACACAACTCTTATGACAAAGTTGAATGCAGTATCACACACATTAGCATGGCATAGCATGCACTATGCCATGCTTAAGTTGATCAAGAATTTCATGAAAAGCTCATGCAAACACCAATCCAAACCTTGTAATCAATATATGAATACTGGCAAAATCAGCAGTTCTTAGTACAAGTCACGCATGTCCTATGTAAGTCTGGCTCTACACTCGATGTTGAAACTATTATTTTGGGTGGTATTGCAGAAAATGGCCTGCATGATCTCAATATCTAAGGTTTGCCTAAGGAGCCATTTTGATCGCAGGCTGCCAAGGCGTTCTTCTATTCAGACCCTTCTTCAAATCAATGAGGATTTCGTCACCGTCCTTCATATCAAAGCGACTCATGGGCAGCGAGTCGAGAAACAGCTCATCCAGGACTGGCTCGTCAGTGTCTGGGTCTCGAGTCTTGTGGTATAGTTTTACCATCCTTCAAAGAAAAGAGAAATAGACCAAGTTTTCGTTAAACAAAAATAATTTCTTGACTCAAGACTAAACTCATACAATTTCATCAGTAGTGGTGCAGAACCATCAGTACCTCCAGCAGTACTTGACTACACTGGTAATCTAAGCTTGCTGTCAATGGCTACGAAGGAAAAAGACAACAGCATATCCGGCGGGTTACACATTCAAATCCCTCAGTCACTTTTCAGTCTTCTCAAAATCCCCTTTTTCGCTAACGATTTACATGTACGTGTGAAAGAGATCAGCATAAAATCTGCAAACTAAAGGGAAAGCAACAACGCATGACTAAAATGGGAATTTTAAACAAGGGGGGGAACCCTAAATAGAAGATAACAACGTACGTTGAAGATGTATCAATCAGGTTACTGCAGATTTGCTTCAGTTTTCCGACTGGCTCCACCACCCTAACAACTCCTTGGTGGATACAGCGACCTCCGTAGATAAATTTCAACTCCACAAACTCCTGAAATCCTTGTCCTATGTCCACTTGGACCAAGGGCCTCAACTTACCTAGTAAAGAATGAGTCGACACTGGATTGAAACAGATTCCTTGCTGCAATATGCTACAAAGCTTACCTTAACATACAGGAGAAAATATGGCTAATATTTTCATGATGTGTTACATTTCTTTGCATGGCTGGTAAAGCAATTCAACTTTTAAAGAGCTCCTCTAAGGAAAACATGTTTTCTTTGATTTTATCTGTTCAAATAAATATAGAAGCATCCAAATCTACATTCAGAATTCACAACTTGGCATGAACAGAAAAAAAGTCCTTTTAAGCTTATTATAGTTGAGCTCTGACGACAAATGACACTGTGTTCGATTTGGTTACTTCCATTTTTATTTGAACAGATAAAATCAGAGAAAATACGTTTTCCTTAGAGATGCTCTTCAACAGCAGTCCTCTCTCCCTTGCCTTGGTATTACATATCTCAGAAGCTGTATGCCCCCCAAGTAAAAACTTTTCAGGTGAAAATGTGAAGAGGACGTCACCATATTCTTGTTTATTCCACTCCAAATAATTCAACTGTGTATTAAGTGAAAAACACAAAGTTTAAAACCCACAGTTTATGAGTAGGAATTATTCAGAAATGTGGGTGTTTATCTCACAGACTTGACAACTGTATCATCACCATGTTTCTGGACTAGCTCCTCCAACCGTGCCGGAGGTTGGGCGTGGTCGACAAAGACTCGGACAAAATGCCGTTCTGACTTCTCCCTCTCCGTCAGAGTTATCTCGCTGCCGTTAAGATGCTTGATACTTGGCAGGCTGAAATGCACCAATTGGAGATCTTACAAAAAATCAACCTGGAATATTGCCTGATCTTCAACCGTCTTAGATTTTAACTATCATAACTAAAAATAACCATCATCACAAAACCAACTGACCAAATGCCAAACAGCCTGATTCCATCCACGGTGTTCAGGTAATTAAAATGTGTTATTGTAAAGTTATTCAAAACCAAAAAACACTGCTCACCACGCTACAGCAAGTTTTCTTCGGTCAGCTTCATCCCAGCTTTCCAAGAGTGGAATATTCTGAGGACAATGTGAAATACACAAGACAGAGAAAAACAAGTTCTTGCCACCTCATTGTGAATTTCACTTTTTTTTTTTTTTTGCAAAACGGTGAAATTTGAATCAATCGCTTTTCAGTTGGAAACAAGTTTGAACCTCCAACTGCTGAAATGCTATGCTTCTCTAGTGCTCTACCAACTACATTATCCACTGCCATGCTGTCAATCTGCCATTTTCTTGTACAAGAACTGAATTTGTTTAGGGCATGGTAATTCTTCAATGATAAGCTTTGTGGCCTTGTTCCTTATTCATAATGAAAAGGTTACGACTGAAGCTGATGCTTCATCGAGCTGATTACCAGGTCAAAGACCAACCTTGATCTTGACAGAGTGTAACCTGGGGAAATGTCTCAGCTCCTGCAGGTCTTGCCAGTTCGACAGGCAGGTGCCCGTCACACATAGAGATTCCAATGCTGGGAAGGCTGCATCCACCTGCTCCTGTTTGTTACTCACAGGTGACTGGCTGTCTGCAGATTCTAAAGCTCCCATCTAAAGAATGTGTAACATGAGAGGCATTAGAAAAAGGCTATCAACTCTAGCCTTCTGAATAATTAAAACTGCAAGATAGAGGGCAGCAGAGTAACTACACTGGCCTTGATGTATAGATAAACTGGCAGGCATTTAAATAATAAAATAAGACAATAAAAAGGCAGCTTATATGGGTGAATCAAGAAGGAAATTCCTAAAGTCAGTGAACATTCAACTAACTGTGTTGCATTCTCTATTGCTTCCAGAAGCTCCAGCACTGGACTGAACTGATTCTGCAGTGCTAGCTTTTCCCACAGCCTCATCCTTGGCTGTCTCCAAGGCAACAGAGCCTGGGCTGGCATCCCCACTTATTGCTCCCTCTCCCTCCATCACTACCCAAGGCTGGCTTTGGTCATTCCGGTTGGCCTTGGGATGTGTTGCTACCAGTTCAGATCCCAAGGCCTGTTTGTTTTCCTTTAAGTGCCAACGAGGAATGTTAGCTTCGTTGTCCTTGTCCACCAAAGCAACATTTTGTTCACAGCTGACTCCGTCTTTTTCTCCAACATTTTCAGCACAAAAACTTTCAGACTTTGCTGTGTCTCCAGGCTGAGTTCTCTCTTTGTCTCCAGCGTCACCGGCTTTCTCTTTCTCTGCTGACCTTTCATCAGAAGCTGTGGAATGTGCTTGTTTGTAGAATACATCCTCAAGGGGGTTTTCCATGAGGACAAGACTGCGAAGTTTTGGCAGTGACTTCAACTTGGCAACTTCGTTCCATCTGAAAACGACCGATTGAGAAAGGAACGGCTGGCAGTTGTATATCAAATAGAAATTGGACCAATTTCTGAAACAAGTTTGTGGATTCTGAAAAGCATTTTCACAATTTTAGTTGACAATTTGACAGAAAAAAGTTACAACCCTTGAAATGAAATAACATCAATGTATATGTAATCTTAAGCATTAACTCCTTTAAAAATATTGTCAAATAAATTGCACATCTCACCTCTTAATGCGATTGTTGTTCAGTGCCAATACATGCAAATGGCCAAGACTTGTTGATGTCTCTTCAGCAGGTAAATCAATGGTGTTATACTCTGTAATTATCACAAATCAAATTATATCAAATTATTACTGTACTACTGTAATCAGCAGGTTCATTTTGCAGAAAGGTTGACGCTAAAACAATTTCTTTTCCGTGAAGAGACATTGTCAAGACTGGATAGGGTAGATCTACCGGTATTTTTTTACCATTCTTGCACAAGTGCAGTTGCTTCAGTTTTGGCATGAGGCGTGACAAGGCAGCCACTTCACTCCATGAAACTTTGGTATCATTCAGCACCAGATCCTCAATGCAGCAGGGAATCTGCTCTTGCTTTACAATCTGTGAAACATCAAACATAACTTGTTAATCTGTCTGACTCAAGACATGCAAAAGGGAAACTCAGTTTGCTTTTTTTTTTAAATAATAACACAAACAGATGTCTAAAACATCAATATATTCAGCTTTTTTAAACTTCTCTATTCAAAATGCTCCACATACATGACAAACTGAATTTCTAAATAAACACTAAGAACATGAGTTGAACTCAAAAAGAATTCAAGTGAAATATTACATTGATTTAATTATCAAGAGTTAGGGTGACATTAAGAAAGTCACCAGGTTGTGGAGTGGGGCTTCTGATTTTTCTGTGAGTACATGTAGGCAAAGGCAGCATACATGTACATGTATTTGTAGTAATCTCTACTGTACCTCCAAATTGCCCAAGGGGTTAGAACTCAGGTTGACAAACTTCAAACAAGGTAGATTTTTCAGAATCGTCTTCACTTCATGCCAGCTGCTCAGCAAGTTGCCTGAGAGGTCCAGGTCATGGACATTGGGACAGAGGGAAGATAGACCGGTTGATGGAATAGCAGCATGAGTGATGCCACTGTTGTAGAGAGTCTGGTAGGTTAAACATTGACAGTGCAGTCAGTACACCTTTATATGTAAATACTTCTGTGCAACAGGGTAAAATGTCCATGTATGTACAAGAGTAGTAACTAGGACACCAAAGCAGAGAAAAAAATGGGTCTAAGATTCAAAGGAAAATTAAATGAATAATTAGCAAGATATATGAGATGGTAATGCAAGAAGAAAATACAGGTATTAAAAAGCAATCAGGGTACAATATAATGCAACCTGCTCGTAAAAATTAAATACAGCAAAAAGACAAATGAACATCAATATTTGAAATTGTGTTGACTTTTTCCTATTAAGCCATAATGCCTCCCTAGTTCTGCTGCTATTGAATCAACAATTTTTACATGTAACATGCCCACTGTCATTTAGGCCATTTAAAATTCATTTCAGGTTCACATCACTCAGACAGGAACAAACTCACTCAGGAGGAGAACTTACATTTTGTAAATTCTGCTCCTTGGCATCCAAAGTGAATTGTGACTCAACAAAGACAAATGGCACTGATAGCATGCCAAATCTGTGGGATAGGTTTTAACGACTGTAAAAAGCCAATAAATAATGGCCAACCCTGTTAGTTGGTGGACACTTTATTCATAAGCAGGAGATGATTAAATTACTGCTTCCTGTCTTATGCAACAACATATTGCACAATTTATTGCACAAATAAGGGAGACGTCATCACAATACATGTAGCTTATATATGTAAGTTGGGAGCCACGACAGCTATAGCATGTTATGGGCATACTGTACATGTACATATGTACATGTATATATCACACATCATTAGCTACACGTACATGTACTATACATGTATTAAAAAGGATATTTACATAAATTCAGTGCAACACTGCCTGTCACCCTGTTGTGTTCAGAAATTTGTCTAGAAATGTGTTCATTGTTTGGAGACAAACAATTTAATTTTAAAAATGTAAATACATGTAAGTACATGTACATGTATAAAAAGTTGGGGAATAGAGGGCCTACATGTACACGTACATGTACGTGGAGTGCCCTCACTGAGAAAGGTCTTAGTTCCTGTGAGATAGGGAGATGCTATCTGAGCACAGGCCGGGTACAGTCATGAATAATGTAACATATGATGTACATGTACATGTAGATATGAACAAAACAACAATTAACGTCTGACCCGATACTGGCGTTCCTGCGTGCACGACGTGCTTGACATCAGAGTCTTAGTATACATTGTGTGTATATACACACTTATACTCTGTACATACATATATTCATGTTTCAGTACATGTACAAGCATACATACATGTATCTGGCTTGCGCCCGGATGTACTCCACCTGCGCTCACAATTTCATACTTAGTACATGTATGTCTTTTTCTCAAATGTACCTCATTTGCGCCCATGTGTACTCCATGTGTGCTCATAACTTTAAAAAACCTATAGTGTAAGTATGAAATTACGGTGTATGCAAGTGGAGTACAAACGGGTACAAGTCAGGTACAGTAGCCTACATGTACCGATACATTTATAGAACATGTTTTATTCATGTGACATCATATGTTGTATTATTCATGACCGTACCCGGCTTGCGCCCAGATAGCATCTCCCAACTGACAGTGATATGCTTGAGTACAACATGTCCTCTGTGAGGGCACTCTTAGCAGGCCCTCTATGTGAAAGAATTCCCTACGTGTACATGATGTATACGGGAATAGTCCTATACTATAGCATAGGGATGCTGCTAGCTGCTCGATTGTATTGACACCCTGTCTGTCGGTGCACAAACCCTAACTGAGAGACCGATCTAAATTAAGAGTTTTCTGAGTGAATAACTCAATAAGCCCATTTTTCGTAGCTAAATTTGACTTTTTACCATTTAGGACATGTACAGTATTTATTTGCAGAGCAAGAAAAATCATCAGTGGCTTTGTTCTTTTATCTTATAAATATTGTAGTTTTTGCACATTGCCAGATATATATTCACCACATTTTTCAAGTAGCCTAACTCCGGAACACAATCATCACCAGCCTCTTTTCCATCATGTCCATTGCCTTGCCCGCTGTCTTCCCCAGCGCAGTCACTTCGTGGCCGCCGGCGACAGCTGCTGCCAAACACGGTGATCTGCACAAAATTTTCCGACCCTTCGTTCACGGCATCATTCTCGCACTCGCAGTACTTTGCCTTGAGAGCGTCTACAAATGAAGTTTGTTCATCCATTATTTTGCTGACGAGTGGCATGAAATGCTTTGCAATTGGGGAGGAAAACCGCTGAAAAACCTCGAACAGTCATCCAGTTCCACCTCCACTTTGGGGTTTTCATGGTTTGGTAGACGTAATCTTTATTTTTTGAAACTTCGTACAGACGACGGGAACTGCCATGCCGCTGTGGGAACTGCTTTTCACTTTAACAGCGCCCTCAAGTGGTACAACGAATTTCGACGTGACTTGTCAAGAGATGATTACGATGGGTGACTCGAGTGAAGATCCTTTGGAAAAGGTAACTTTTGTGGATATCTGTACGCCAAAATCCAAATCCAGTAACTGTAACGGAATCTTTCAATCTTCTGCATTGGAATGGTTTGTAAAATCGACCAATGACGTGGTTAAGAGACAAAAGACGTCTGACAGAAATCGGCATTCCTAACATTCCAATGCAATGTGTGTACTAAAAAGGCTCAGACCGTATGCGTTCGTGTTATCGTATGGCTAAGTTTAGTTACATGTACGTGTAACGTACCGGTAGTTCCAAATAAGGCTTTTTGCCGATTTCCCTCAAATCACGCTGTAGATATTGTACCTCTTCAACAAAGGGAAAAATGTTGTCTTCTGCCAATCATTGCAGGTCATTCATCGCAGAAATGCTGAAAAGACGATTTTCTAATTTCGAACATTTTCCTGACTCCCCTAACATGCCTAACCATGCCGAACTTTGATTTGTACACAGACACTGAGGTAGAGTCAGGATGTAACAACATTCTTTCCTCATTAAGGATTGTGAGAAATGTGTGAAAAGGGAGAATGGAATATCAAATTCAGAAAAAAATGCTACAATTTTTATGTTAAACATTGTTGAATTCACAGTTTTTAAAACAAATTTCACATAGACAGGTGATAGACTAACTTCTGCTGCTATTACGTGTAGACTTCAATTTTAATTGGAGTAGAGATTGGCTTCTCAAGAATGATGGATAACCGATGACTTCAAGACTCAGCCTTGCTTAATTGGATTAGCATTTAACTGAGTTATAATTTTCCTTAATTTTACCCTGCAGGTTCAAGAGGCACAAAAATGGAAAGAGGAAGGCAACAACCACTACAAGTTGGAGAGATTTGAGGAGGCAGTAGAAGCATATAGTAAAGCAATTGGCGCCTGTCCCAAGGGGCAATCAGACAGGGCTGTTTACTACAAGAACCGCTCAGCTTGCTACCTGAAACTCCAAAAGTATGAGAAGGCCGCTCAAGATGCTGCTGCTGGTGAGACCTTTGAAAGAATATGCCATGATTGCGTTGGCAAAAATGGGAAGTTGAAGTTGTCATTTAGGCTGGTTTTAAAGAGGATGGAATTGCACACTGTCTAAACACTTCTGTGTACCAGTGTTGTAAAAAAAATCATCACAAAAGTCCCCACAAGACCTTTACGAGACAACACAAGATCTCCAGCCGAATTCAAGCCAGGAGCTATTCAAATAAGCACCAACTAATGTATTCCTTTGTCAGTGTTAAGTTTGTTACTAGTGACTGGTCTTGAGCATGACCCTGTAAAAGGTCTTTAGAAAGGAACTGTGATGGTCTGCACTACAACACTAACACCTTACATGTATTTCTGCAGAAACAGTGGAGAGCACACTACACATGACGGCCAATCTGGTCATGATAAGCAGCAGACTAAAAACTGATGATGTATTTGGGTAGACTTTGCATAGTACATGTATATATTTCACAAGTTATACCCTCTCAAGATTTTGTAGCCCAGAATGCATTTGCATCCACAGCTGGCTGGCATGACAATTTTCTCAGCTTGTCAAACACTGCACTGCTGATAATTACCCAACTTTATGTACATGTACTTTCTTTGAGTAAAGGTTCGTCTAGCATTGTTGTCATGGCCTGTGTGTGTGATTGTTAATGTGCATTGACACCGCAGCTCTGGATATCATTCCCAATGACACCAAGGCACTCTTCCGGAAGTGCCAAGCCCTGGAGCAGCTAGGGCGATTCGAGGAGGCTTTCAAGGAGGCGCTACAACTGAACAAGCTGGAGCCCAGCAACACAGCCGTGCAAGCCATGCTCCGGAGGCTCAATGCGATCGTGGCAGAGAAGGTAGTCATTGCGTGCTCTGTCGTGGGTAGTGATGCACTGTGTTGCCCCACCTGTTAATTTGTGATATGCGGTTGACGATGGTTTTCTTTACAGACTTCACTGCCCCCTTTTTTGTTCTCATTATTTTGTTCTTTGTACTCAGGGGATGTTTTAATGGTTTCAGTTTTGCTTTTTTTTAGGGGGAATGGGGTCACTTCTGCTGTTTGAAATTTTGAAAATTAGTATCATTAAATACATTGCAACAAAATCTCAAATATCTCAAGGAATACTGTATATGGATCCAGTGATGTTTGTGGATACATTTTGTCATAAAACTAGTTCAAAGTTTCTTTTAAGTGTCGAAATGTTTTTTGCTTTTCTTCATTTATCCATCATAAAGGTCACCAAACTGTCCACAACAGATAGTAAAGTGGTACAGATGTTTACTGCTTTATCCGATGAAGATGTGGAGAAGAGAAGACAGGTAAAAGGAAATGAGTCCATCTCATCATACTTTGCATTGTGATAATGTCGGTTTGGGCCTTTCATCTTTCTTGAACTGGAAGTCTCATCCTTCGTAATTTTCAAAGATAGGCTTGTGAAGATGATGCTTTGAGGATGAACGTATTCAAAATTGACTTCACATGTATTATACTGTGCTATTTGTGTATCATTTTGAAGCAAAACTAAAACGAGAAAATCTTTCAAAACGTTTTATAATTGGACTACTTTTCTTCGGACCTGGTATAGGGGCGTGGTTATCATCAGTGTACTCTGCCCTTAATTCAGTCCATTGACAGCAGCCACGCCCTTTTCCAGGAGTGAGATTTGTCAGGATTTTCCTATTTTAGGATTTTTCAAGCAATCATTTGTAAAATCTTGAAAATCCTGAGTGTTACTCTTAAATATTTAGGTAACATGAAGGTGTTTTTACGTGTAAAAGTTGATAAGACATGTAGAACACAATGCATGGGTGTTTTGAGGGATGCCATATGGCTAACACAGATGTGTATTATGGACCCTATCCTGCTGTGGGACCCTCAAATCCTCTGTTAATCATTTTGTGGCTACTTCTCTTTCCTGTCATCTCACCCCTGCTTTTGACATTTGGACGGTGTAGGATTGAGTCATCTCCCTAAGGTGTGATTCATTTGCAGGCTGCTAACAACTTGATTGTCTTAGCGAGGGAGACTACAGGGGCGGAGAGAATCTTTGCCGAAGGGGGTGTGTCCAAGATACAGCACCTCCTACAAGGAGAGGACAAGGAGCTGACACTGGCTGGTCTGAGGGTGCTCAGTTGTCTTTGCCAGGGGCATAAAGCAAGGGTAGGGGCATTTAACCTGTCAAGTGTTTGGTACTTCAACGTTCAGAATGGTTGAAAGGTTCCAAGGGGTTTTGCGTAATTGTTTGCTGTAAAATTCTCTTTTAAATCAGCGTTGCGCCTTTACCATAAGCAAACACCTGTCAACTGCTCTTATGAAGGTTTCTTTGAAATGATTTTGTTATTTTTCCCCTATCATCTGATTCCCAAGCATTGGTTGACCTGATTAATCAAAACGACGCCAATGTGTGATCATCCAATTTTTTTTTTTCAATTTTTATGTTCAGGCCAATGCAGTTTTAAAAGAATTCACCTTACCATCTCTTGCCAAGCTCATTTCATCACCAACAGAGGAGATTGCCAATGCTGCAGCAAACATCCTTTTAACTGCAATACAGGTAAATCGCTGTCTTAGGTGATCAAAACTGTTTACCAGTCAACTGAGTATCATTAATTTGGAGCCCTTGGAGGCTTTCAAGTGTAACAGAACAAGTGCTTATGAGACTAACAAAGCAGTGGATTGCTACCCAAATAGGTAGCAACTTCAACTTAACAAATACAGGGACCGAACACTAGTGAAATGCACACAGCTGTACAGAAATTCCAAAGAGTCCTCCAGACAATGTAAATGTGATAAACTAGTACTCAAAGGAATAAAGTACATTGTATGCAGCTGTGGCCTACCATACATGAACCCATAGGACTACATGCATGAAAACTAATTAGGTCTAATGGGACACACTATTGGTAGACAACAATTGCATTAGTCTAAAATGTTACACAAAACCTGACTCTGGTAAACATTTATTTTTCTTCATAATTCAGTGGATTATTTTAATGTTTATTTCACTTGATTATCCTGCACACTCTGCTTTGTAAATTTTCAGGAAAAAACTCACCGGCCTACCCACCAGATTATATATGTACATGTATATTAATTACCATGAATCGACATTGATCAGACTCAACCCCTTCGCGCTGGGACACGGATAGAGCTGCTGTAAAAATTGAGATCCTCAGCCCGCTTTTCAGCTATTATTCTCGGCCCACACTCGAGTGAACACCGTGAAAGAAGGCAGACCCTGGCTCTTGTATATATGGTGATTGGCTTTTGTGTGTAGCCCAGAAATGAAAAGAACCGAATTTGCATCATAATCACCAGCTTCACAATAGTCCCCACTTTGAAAAGAGGCAATGGGAATGTGGAAGCGTGGGTAGAGCCACATGCCACCAAACAATCAGCCTTTTCGCTATGTAATTCAAAGCGTGCAGAGCACGCAGGGCCACAAACTGAGAATTTGCAGTTTGGCAGGTGGTCTTTGTGACCAATCAAGGCTGGAATTCTTGGAGTTGGCTTTCAGAAAGAAATTCCCATCGTCAAGGGCTTGAAATTGCAGGTATGCATCAACCGCCCTTCTTGTCCTTACTGTCCTCGTCTCTGACATCTCCCTTCAAGAAAACCTTCAAGGTTTGGCGCTGACATTTGTGTTCTTTGAAATCAGGCAATGATAGAAGAAGACTCCAAACAACCCCGGAAAGCCAAAGAAGCTCTCGTGCCTGGTGAGTGAGCAGTACTTTGTGGCCCCTCTTACTGGAAAAGCCTGTTTTTGCATCTTCATTATTCAGCCAATAGATTTCATTTCAAAGCTGTTTCTTCAGTTAGTACTAGAAAAGTAATCCATTACTGGTTCATATTACCATTGACAGATCTGACTACTGAATTCAAGTCGCTCTTAATGTTCCTCCTTGGTCTGCTGACGGACAAGAATGTATCAGGTTACGGCAGAGATGCAGTCATTGACATCATCATGAAGTTTGTGCCAAAGGAGACCGGTACCGGCAGAGCACTCACGTTCATGACCAATGGAGGTACTGGAAACATTTTAATATCCCAAAACAATTTTTTTTCTTCAGTTTCTTCTTTGAATAAATTAGAATGAGTAGTTAAGCTCAAACCTTCCCATTGCAGCTTCTGGTGCTAGCCAAATCTCTTAGCGCTTCCAGTGGAATCCCTTTTGTCACTAAAAAATGATACGGATGACTTTAAAACCCAGTTAATAGATACTTGGGACAATTTTTCTATTCCTATTGGTCGAAACATGTCATGTGACCATATATTAACATTTAATAATGTCCGCCAAGGAGTGATAATGCCTGCTGTGTAAATCAGGCGCTGGTACATGGATACAAGACAGTTTAATCGAGTCTGATTGGTCAGGTATCTGAGTGCGCGCGCCAAGTTCATTTAAAAAGATTCTATTGGACAACTTTAAAGTGGAATATGCCATAAAATGGATGGGGGCATTCGGGAAAGTGACAGTAAAATTTTAGAACAAAATTGTTGGAAATCCATCACATGTTGACTTCTTTTGACTCGCTGAATTAAAAGGTATTTATAAATGGGAATAAATATGTGCTTGGCTCGTCTAAAATTAACGCTCCGGAGATTTAATGCTGGTAATGGCAATACCCTCGTCTGCGGCTCGGGCATTAGTCATGTCCATTTTCCTGAGCCGGTCTTAAACGCACGCTTAAGACCGGTCAGGCACATTTATTCCCTTATTTATTTGAACTAGAGACCAACTAGCTCATGTGTTTTGTGTTGTAGTCATATTTTCTTGAATTGGCCTTGTTCTACCTTTGTCAGGTTTAATGAAACTGCTCACTGTGGCCGGCCAAGTACCAGAGCTTAAGCGGTTACCGATAACTGCAAACACACGCATGCACGCAGCTGTGGCTCTGTCTAAGCTCTATGATGAAATGCACAGCGAGAAGAACCGGAAATACTACGACGAATTGTGCAATAAATTCATCACGTAAGTCACCAGTGGATTTAGCCGTCTCACAGAAGTTATTTATTATTTATTGATTGGATAATTTCTCAGGCAAAATACATGTCACAGACAATAAAAATAAAAAATACTTTTCAGTCCAATTACAATCACATAAAAAATAAAAACCACAATACGAAATATCAAAGTGACAAACTACAAGAGGACAAGATACAAACGACTATCAAGTAAAAACACTAAAAAACAAACGAGCATAAAATTGTACCATATGTAGGCCTGAAGGATTGCCTAAAATCCTGTATAATAACTTGTTGAGAGGCTCTCTAACTACAACAATAAAGTGTCACACAAAACGCGGAGACAGACAACGAGATAAAAAAGGCATAAACACACAAGACAAAGCAAACAAGTCACAACACATACCAACAAGAAAACAAACAAATGAAATGAAACACCACAGCACCACAGCAGTATACCACAGTTGTAGAAATGGCCTCGTGAGATATAAAAACTGACACTTATCGACCTCCTTTGTGGTAAATTTTCTTCTCTTACAGGGATAAATTTAATGTGAACACAATGGAATCCAACATGGAGGCCATTACAGCCATCACAGCCCTACTACAGGGTCCGTTTGATGTTGGCAACGGACTCATTGGCAGAGAGGGCGTTGTTGAGGTCATGGTTGCCATGGCAGGAAGTTATGACGTCCTTCATCAGGTATGGCCCGTGGTTGAATCACATCTGGCTGCAAAACATTTCCTTGAACAGAAACTGTTCTTACTTGAAGAATGATTGGAAGTTTGCTATTGAAGCATTGAAGAAATTGGCTCAGCAAAGCTGCTTTCTGATCCATTCTTTCTGTTAGTATTTTCAGCTATAAATGTTTGCTTAAAGGGACCATTTATTTTACTACAACCCTTCAAATATCTCCTTTATGTAGCAACCTTATTTCAAGGTTTGTTGTTGTTTTGCTATTTTTATCTGTATTTTGGATTCTTTTTTCTTTGTTTTTATGTTAATACATATTTTGTAGCAAAAGAGTTTTGCACATTTTCTAGCAAAACTGATATCATCCGAGGCAGTACACCTCAATATTGCATTTATTTGTTCAAAACTTCTCTGAAATTTTCAACTTTCCATTTCTTTTGGCAATTTATTGTTGTGTAAGTATATAGCAATAAGTCAGTGAGCTGCAATTTCTCAGAAATGTTTTCAAAGAGTAAATTTGGGTTCAAAATTTGAAAATGAAATTATGTAAACTGAACAGTGTCTTACATTGCAATGAAAGCACCTTCACTTGAAAAGCGTGAACAGTGTGAAATGTTTTAAAAAGTGCATTATCAATGCACGTCACTTCAACAGGAATTCAGTTTTTATACATTGAAGAAAAGTATAAAGATGCATAATAAGAGAATGCAACAAAAATCCATTTCAGGGCTCCTTTTTACACACAACACTGTGTTTAAAAATCTACTTGGCTTTTCCTATAAAGAAGTAAATTTCTCACCTCATGAGTTCTTTGATTCAAAAATGTCTGTTTCACTTTCCAAAACTTCCAGAAAGTTGCCTTAGAAGCGATCATCCAGGCTGCCAACAAGAAGGATCGCTGCACTGGCATCCTGCAAACCGGTATCAACATCTTGAAAGAATGTTACAAGTCCAGCAACGATAACATCAAAGTGAGAGCGCTAGTCGGTATGTGTAAGCTTGGGGTGGCGGGTGGGACCGACGCCAGCATTAAACTGTTTGCCGACGGGGCCACAGTGAAACTTGCCAAAGAGGTGAAAAGGTAAGCATGTTTGCACTTTTTCTGATGTAAAATTCAGACTCCTTAAGGGAGAACGAAAAATTAAACAGATGTTCACTCAGGGTTGGTTTGAGGTTACACAGGATTTCATGGGGTACCTCAGGGTAAACCACAAAGTTTTCCCTTGCTGTGTACTTAGTTATCAATTGGTCACAGTTTCAAGACAGATCAAAGTACACGTATATTCTGTAGTGCTCTCGTACTTTTTCAAAAATTAATGCATTCCCCTTTTTTCTCCAAGGTTCTTTACCTGGCCAGTTGAAAAACTTTGCTTCCAACATGACATGAAGGTGTGAGCATTTCCCCTCCCCTATTACAGATTCCTTCTTAACCCAGAGAAGATTCATGACCTCCAGAAGTGGGCCGCAGAGGGCCTATCCTTCTTATCACTGGATGGAGATGTCAAGGAGGACATCGTCAATGACCCTAAGGCACTCAAGACGCTGATTGAGTTAGCCAAGGTAACGTGGAAGGTCCATCTTATGTTGGTGGTTCCAGCTCTGTTCTAGATGATATCGATTAACATTAACCACTTCATGCCGGGGCATTTTTCACTGCTGATGATGCTGGGCCGGCATGACTATCATTTTTTCTGTTTTCAAAATCCTTCAAAAAGTCATCATTCCATTTAACGGTCGTTTATAGCTGCATGAAGTAATCTTTAGGCACTACTCGAAGTTGACAGGTGACCTTCATTGATGCCCGAGTATTTCAGCC